AACCTGTGTCCCCTGCATCGGCAGATGGACTCTCAACCACTGCGCCACCAGGGAAGCCCGAAAAAAAATGATTTTATGAACCATTTTATTGGTAGAGGCTAAAAGTTTTGGTTAGATTACATGATATCCCTTTTAGATACTTAAGTGTCAAACCAAAAATTATCACGTTTCTACATGGAGATTTTCATTATTTATTTGACTACTTAATTTGAGGATTATATTCCTGTTTGAAATTTTTCACTTCTTAGAGGCTTTAATATGGTTAGATTACATGATATCCCTTTTAGATACTTAAGTGTCAAACCAAAAATTATCACGTTTCTACATGGAGATTTTCATTATTTATTTGACTACTTAATTTGAGGATTATATTCCTGTTTGAAATTTTTCACTTCTTAGAGGCTTTAATATGGTCTCTTTCCTTCTCTGATGGCTTTTTTTTTGTTCCCTCTTTATTTACTTTTTTTTTTTTTTTATTTTTCATTGGAGGATATCATTATACATTACTCATAAATCTTAATCTATAAAAATTGCAGGTCATTTGGATAGTATGTTAATCATTTACTTGTATATTCTGACACATTGTCTTTGATATATTTTTGGTCTAACCTTCAACCCAGATCAATTCATTTCAGAAAGCCTACAGCTTCTATAAAATATTAGAGAGCAAAGCTCTGAGCAATATCAAGTCTTCCATTAGCCTGCCACAGAATATTAAGAAGCGATGGGATTTCCTTCTGCTACCTTGTATTATGTATAATTAAACACATTGCTTTCTTTATCTTTAGTTATCAAGATAAACAAAAATCACTGTAATCTTTTTGACCCAGGATGGCATAGGTAATATTTTTTAAGTTTATTAGCAGTACAGTATATCTTTAACTGGCGTTTAAACATTAGCCGTAGTCTTTGTTGGAGAGGCTGTATGACAGCATTAGACACTTGAAGTCCTGATCTGTCATTGACTTCTTAAACAGTATTGCCATTTTTTCTTTTTTCTTTTCTTTTTTTCCTTCCTATTCTTTTTTGGGGTGGTAGTAAATAGCTTTGTACCAATTTGTAATCTGCTTTGTTCCTTTGAAAAACAAATGTAAAATTTACTTTTTAACATAATATTTAATCGGGCAATGCTGGTGGGCATTTTTACTTAAGTGTTTGAATCACAAAAACAAAACCTGTTTTACTTTTAAAGTAAAAGCAGTGATAAACTCCAGCAGTATAAATTTGCAGTAAATAACCTCTTTCCCCCTTCCAATTACAACAGTCTTTAAAATTTACGTATGTTAACACAAATTTGCATGTTTCAGTTTTTTACTCATCCACTGTTGGCTATCTTTCCATGTTGATAACATTTAGATATTCTTTATTACTGCTGCAGAGTATTTTATTGTTATTTACAGATGTACCAACATTTGTATTAACTTGTTCTCTTACTCTAAAATAATTTATTATTTAATAGGTATTACTTAATGTATTTAATATATTTCCGATTGTATTTGAAATGGGTAAGGAAGCAAAAGAAAAATCACCTATAATCCTACCAACGACAAACTGCTCGCTGTTAACCATTTTGCTGTCTCTTTCCAGTGTTTTATTTTTCTATTGCACAGCCTCCTTTTCTTTCTTTCATAAAATATATATAAGGGAAATTTTCAATGTCAGTAGAGCTGTATAACAGCATGAACGTTTTTGTCTTCAAAAATTATGTTGAAATATTAAAATACTGAATAATATAAAATATACCATTGTAACCATTTTAAGGGTGCATGCAATTCAGTAACATTAAATACATTCACAGTGTTGTACAACCATCACCACTGTCCGTCTCCAGAACCTTTTCATTATTCCAAACTGAAACTCTACCTATTAACACAGCATATGTTTATGCCTTTAAACTATTCTCTTATCATGAACATTTAAGTTGTTTCCAGTTTTCTCCACTTACAGACAACAGTCCATACACATTCTCCTTCCTATTTTCTCCTGATAGCAATTCTTCCAAGAACCTGTATCAGTAGATATGTTAAGCGTGATTCTTAAAATTGGTTTTGGATGTCAGTTTTTTTCTTTTCCCCCCACAGAAGAACTTGTCCTCAATTTTATAATAAAAGTTAATGTAGGGCTTCCCTGGTGGCGCAGTGGTTGAGGGTCCACCTTCCGGTGCGGGGGATGCGGGTTCATGTCCTGGTCCTGGAGGATCCCGTGTGCCGCGGAGCGGCTGGGCCCGTGAGCCATGGCCGCTGGGCCTGCGCGTCCGGAGCCTGTGCTCCGCAGCGGGAGAGGCCGCAGCAGTGAGAGGCCCCCGCAACACCAAAAAAAAAAAAAAAAAAAAAAAAAGTTAATGTAACTGGGTTACATATATTAAAATACAGTCTAGATAATTTGACATTAATATAGCTATTTTGTAGGAGGAGAGATACTAATGGAATAGAGGAGTCAAAGTCTTTTTTTTTGCCTGAGTTGATTTTTCAACGGTAGTTGAGGCTCAGTGATGTTGATTGGAGGAGTGCTAGGTGGGGTGTGTGCAGAATGTATCATTTGGAGAACGGTCATCATACATATTCTGCTGTTCTGGTGGAAAAAGAGTTAAGAAACTACTGCCTTGTGTTCTGTTTGACTCATTAGAGATAACATGCTTTACTTAACCAGGGTTTTAACTTTAAAACCATTTTTTAAATGTCAGAATTAGAAATTTTTCTAATGAAAACCTTTGCTTCTCCACTAGGATTGGCAGCCACCATTTGCATGTGATGTTGACAAACTTCATTTTACCCCACGTATCCAGAGGCTGAATGAATTGGAGGTAATGTCTTAACTACCTATGCTGGTTGCCTGTATTCCAGCGGGGGCTTCTTTGAAAGAGGCTGTGTCACAAATCTGTTGGTTTCAGTGAAGCGAAAACATGGCCAGTAACTGATAATCATGGTAAAACAAATGGCAATAAGCCTTTGCAACCAACCCAGTTTCATTAAAAACGCTGATTTTTGTCAGTAATTGCCAGCCTACTAATTAATAAATGCATTTAAATCCTTCTCAAGCTAGGTGACAACCAATAGAGTTTAGGTTTCGAAAGGCATGTGCTTTCAGAACCATTTAATGGAAAAGATTCTCCAGCTCTGATATTCTTCCAAAATACATGTCTTCAGTAAGATTTAATAACACACTTTACTTTCCCTAGGAGGAGTGAATGAATAGCACAGGGGATTCTCTAGAGAAGAGGTAGTATTTCTTCGTTAGTCTGTGGGCGACTTAAGCCCTAAAGTGCTGGGTGAATAAGGCTTGGGTATTGATAGCATAGAGGTTCATTGTTTATATGAATGTTTTGCTAATCTGATTTTCATATTGAACCATGTTTTGTTTTTCTATATTAAACCAAACATTCTTAACTTAAATGGCACATATGTCCACTGGAATTCTGTGGGCATTGGCAGTAGTAGCATCTAGTGTATGTATTTTCAGGTATTTCAGTGTATTTTCATGTTGAGCTTGAAAGATAGGGAGGTGGGTATTAACTTTGACCTGGTTGGGAATATCTGAATATTGATCTCAATTTTGGTCTTGTGCAAGATAAAAGTCTTAAAACTGTCTGACTTAATTTCACAATGAGTGGAAAGAAAAATGACAAAATTTTAAAAAAATGACTTGTAGGCAACAGTAATAATCTGTTAAGGGAATAACATTTAAGAAAGTTTCTGGTTTTCTGTTATCTTTAAGTTATCAGGACTTTAAAGTTAAGTGGTTCTGTTGTAAATCTGCTTTTAGATTTGTGTTTGAGCAAATCAGAAAATTTGTACTCTTAGAGAACAGGACTTTAAAATACCCAAACTGTAAAAGGACGAAAGGGGCATATAGAATCTTACTTATGATACTCCTTAAATAAAGCACCTCTCAGATCGCCTATTTATGTTACGGGAGGACTTACTGAGTGTGTAACTACTACTTACCTGGCACATGGTAGGGACTGAATTAAATTTTTGTTGAGTTAACGTATAATTATTTAACCAGTTTTATTCTGTATATTTTGGGGAAGTTTCCCCTATTGAATTCATAAGTGGAATTGCACTTAAATAGTCTAAGAATGAAAATATCACATGCACAGGTAATAGGAGCTTTATAATAAGCTAGGTAAAAGTAAAACTCAGTTCTTTGTCATTTAGGCTCAAACTCGTGTAAAATTAAATTTCTTGGACCAGATTGCAAAGTACTGGGAATTACAGGGAAGTACTCTGAAAATTCCACATGTGGAGAGGAAGATCTTGGACTTGTTTCAGCTTAATAAGGTAAAAGCCTAATGACCATCTTTCTCATTGAATAATTTTTCTGACAGCATGAATTTGATCTTCTTTGCCTTAAAATAAGAAACTTACTGCTTGAAAGATGTAAAATAAAATTCTTCATTTAGTTTTGTGATTAGATTGGTCTCTGCTTGTCTGATCTGAAAGCCTTATCTTGTGAAATATTTTGCTGCCACCTGTTTTTTGGTAATTTTTAAACTTCGTAATGGTCCTCTTAGATATTCCTGTCTGTTTTATTGCAGATAAGACAACAGAGGCTTTCAGTGTCCAAGTTGACCAACCGAAAAGGCTGAGTTATAATTCTGTATCTTAAAGTTCATTTCAGTCTAAAGCCTGCATTATTTCCACCAGACATGCTGCCGTTCTTGCTACTCCTCAGTTTACTAGAACCTTTTCTTTATCAGAGATTTCATTGCTAATTTAATTCTTCCTCATGGAAAATCTTGGCTGCTTTGGGGAACTGAGAAGTAGCTTTTGGAGGGGTACAAAAAGTTTATGGAATATGCTGTTAAAAGCAGTGTTTTAAATTTCTAGTTTAAAATTAATAGTGCATATATATATATTTTACTTGGAAAATGTATCTTTAAAAGATGACCACAGCCAAGAACTAATTTCTTTTGCTGTTTTATTTAACAGTTAGTTGCAGAGGAAGGTGGATTTGCAGTTGTTTGCAAGGATAGAAAATGGACCAAAATTGCCACCAAGATGGGGTTTGCTCCTGGCAAAGCTGTGGGCTCCCATATCAGAGGGCATTATGAGCGAATTCTCAACCCCTACAACTTATTCCTGTCTGGAGACAGTTTGAGGGTGAGTAGGGCTAGCCTTAACCTGTTTTATTTCACTGCTTATTGGCACATGGTCTTTGGGAGGAATGAAAAAGCCTTGATTATGTGTGGAAGACTTGCTTGGAAGACCTTTGTTTTATGGATTTTTCCTCCAATGTTTTAGTTCTGTTTTGAGAGCAACCATACTAAGAAGGTTTGGAATGAATAAGGTTACAGAGGAAATATTCTTTTGTTATCAAAAACTGAAATCTGTATTAACTTCGCTATAGATGTTCCTTTCTTACAGCAGTTTGTTATTACCTACTTGTTACGGCTTTTGCTTTTGCATTCACTTACTGTTTAAAGTGTATTCCTGGTTGTCACATGAAAATACAACATGTGAAATAACTTGCCTGCCTTCTCTCTTTTGCCAGCTGAGGTCTCCAAGGAGATTTTCATAGAATGTTGACATTGGTAGAGAGTAGGGGACTCAGTAATGCTGGACAGCTCATGGAGCCCTCTGCTAATAGTTCCTATGTAACTGTGTTTGTTTCCTTACAAAGGTGGTATTTGCCAAATTATTGAGATAAAAACTTCTGTTCTAATTTAAAGCAAAACAATATTATAAAAACTTCCCACTTATTTTAGGCCCTGATAGAAAGCAGAATGTCATAATTGTTTACACGCTTTGAGATATTCTACACTAGAGCAGTGAGCCCTATAATTTTAGAAATTGTTACTGTGCTATAGAGAGGGAGGAAGATCACAGCATAGTTTCTGAGGGTAAACCTGCTAATCAAAACTGTCTTGATACAGACATATCATCTGGAATGCTTAAATCCTATAGGTTTTCGTAGCATTGTGTTTTTCTTTTCTCTCTCCCTTGATTCCAGGTGGGCTTTCTTTTTAGCCTAGAAAATGTGACTAATACTCAGAAACTTGTTTAAAGAAATGTGCCCTGTGTGAATGTTTAGTGAACCCATGGATGAAATTGTTTAAAATATTGTATATGGAGCCTTTATGTCTCTGTTTTGTAGTCAGATCTACGTACAGTTGCCCACAATAGGTTTTCTCCTTTGAACCTTCTTATCTCGGTGCAGAAGTTAGATGAATAAAGGGAGAGAGAGAGTCTCTCTGCTTTATGGGTTTAGAAACAGCTCGTCTGTATACTTAGAGAGGCCCTAAGTTTCATAGTTGAAAAGTGGGTAAGCATTTATACAATCATAGTCTGAAAGGAACAGGTATTCAAAGATACCATATACAAACATTACATCTACAACACAGATAAATATCTGTTGAAGGGCCTACTGATGCATGTTCACTGTGGAAAGTATAAAAACAAAGGAAAGTATGATAAAAATAAATCCCTCCTAATCCTCTCATCTGCTTTTTCTTTCAAGGCTATTTTTATGCACATATACACAAATGGGAAGTGTATTCTTTACGTATACAGTATTTTTCCTGCTTAACGTGTCACTGTATATTTTTGAAGATACAGGTCTTTTTTTTTTTTTTTTAATTTATTTATTTTTGGCTGTGTTGGGTCTTCGTTGCTGCGTGCAGGCTTTCTCTAGTTGTGGCGAGCTGGGGCTACTCTTCATTGAGGTACTCAGGCTTCTCGTTGCGGTGGCTTCTCTTTTGCAGAGCACAGGCTCTAGGCATGCAGGCTTCAGTAGTGGCAGCACACGGGCTCAGTAGTTGTGGCTCGCGGGCTCTAGAGGGCAGGCTCAGTAGTTGTGACGCACGGGCTTAGTTGCTCCACAGCATGTGGGATCTTCCCAGACCAGGGCTCAAACCCGTGTCCCCTGCACTGGGGACCAGGGAAGCCTGAAGATACAGGTTTAATGACTCTGTGTCATTCCATTTTTATACCCAGAACTTGATTTGATTTCTCCTGTTGCTGAATTCGTTTTTTCTTTTTGGAATTTTTGAATTTTATTTTATTTTTTATACAGCAGGTTCTCACTAGTTATCTATTTTATACATATTAGTGTATATATGTCAATCCTAATCTCCCAATTCATCCCACCACCATCACCCCATCCAGCCACTTTCCCCCCTTGGTGTCCATACGTTTGTTCTCTACATCTGTGTCTCAATTTCTACCCTGCAAACCACTTCATCCGTACCATTTTTCTAGGTTCCACATATATGCGTTAATATACGATATTTGTTTTTCTCTTTCTGACTCACTTCACTCTGTACGACAGTCTCTAGATCCATCCACATCTCTACAAATGACCCAGTTTCACTCCTTTTTATGGCTGAGTAATACTCCATTGTATATATGTACAACATCTTCTTTATCCATTTGTCTGTCAATGGGCATTTAGTTTGCTTCCATGACCTGGCTATTGTAAATAGTGCTACAATGAACATTGGGGTGTAATGAACATTGGGGTCTTTTTGAATTATGGTTTTCTCTGGGTATATGCCCAGTAGTGGGATTGCTGGGTCGTATGGTAATTCTATTTTTAGTTCTTTAAGGAACCTCCATACTGTTCTACATAGTGGCTGTATCAATTTACTTTCCCACAGCAGTGCAAGAGGGTTCCCTTTTCTCCACACCCTCTCCAGCATTTGTTGTTTGTAGATTTTCTGATGATGCCCATTCTAACTGGTGTGAGGTGATAACCTCATTGTAATTTTGATTCGCATTTCTCTAATAATTAGTGATGTTGAGCAGTTTTTCATGTGCTTCTTGGCCATCTGTATGTCTTCTTTGGAGAAATGTCTGTTTAGGTCTTCTGCCCATTTTTGGATTGGGTTGTTTGTTTTTTTAATATTGAGCTGCATGAGCTGTTTATATATTTTGGAGATTAATCCTTTGTCCGTTGATTCGTTTGCAAATATTTTCTCCCATTCTGAGGGTTGTCTTTTGTCTTGTTTGTAGTTTCCTTTGCTGTGCAAAAGCTTTTAAGTTTATTAAGTCCCATTTGTTTATTTTTGTTTTTATTTCCATTAGTCTAGGAGGTGGATCACAAAAGATCTTGCTGTGATTTATGTCAAAGAGTGTTCCTCCTATGTTTTCCTCTATGAGTTTTATAGTGTCCGGTCTTACATTTAGGTCTCTAATCCATTTTGAGTTTATTTTTGTGTTTGGTGTTAGGGAGTGTTCTAATTTCATTCTTTTACATGTAGCTTTCCAGTTTTCCCAGCACCACTTATTGAAGAAACTGTCTTTTCTCCATTGTATATCCTTGCCTCCTTTGTCATAGATTAGTTAACCATAGGTGCATGTCTTTATCTCTGGGATTTCTATCCTATTCCATTGATCTATATTTCTGTTTTTATGCCAGTACCATATTGTCTTGATTACTGTAGCTTTGTAGTGTAGTCTGAAGTCAGGGAGTCACACTCCTCCAGCTCCGTTTTTTTCCCTCAACTCTGCTTTGGCTATTCAGGGTCTTTTGTGTCTACATACAGATTTTAAGATTTTTTCTTCTAGTTGCGTAAAAACTGCCATTGGTAATTTGATAGGTATTGCATTGAATCTGTAGGTTGCTTTGGGTAGTATAGTCATTTTCACAGTATCGTTTCTTCCAATCCAAGAACATGGTATATCTCTCCATCTGTTTGTGTCATCTTTTTTTTTTTTTTTTTTTTTTTGCAGGCCTCTCACTGTTGTGGCCTCTCCTGTTGTGGAGCACAGGCTCCGGACGCACAGGCTCAGCGGCCATGGCTCACGGGCCCAGCCGCTCCGCGGCATGTGGCATCTTCCCGCACCAGGGCACGAACCCATGTCCCCTGCATCGGCAGGCGGACTCTCAACCACTGCGCCACCAGGGAAGCCCTGTTTGTGTCATCTTTGATTTCTTTCATCAGTGTCTTACAGTTTTCTGAATACAGGTCTTTTACCTCCTTAGATAGGTTTATTCCTAGGTATTTTATTCTTTTTGTTGCAATGGTAAATGGGATTGTTTCCTTAATTTCTCTTCCTGATCTTTCGTTGTTAATGTATAGGAATGCAAGAGATTTCTGTGCATTAATTTTGTATCCTGCAACTTTACCAAATTCATTGATTAACTCTAGTAGTTTTCTGGTGGCATCTTTAGGATTCTCTATGTATAGCATCATGTCATCTGCAAACAGTGACAGCTTTACTTCTTCTTTTCCAGTTTGTATTCCTTTTATTTATTTTTCTTCTCTGATTGCCGTGGCTAGGACTTCCAAAACTATGTTGAATAATAGTGATGAGAGTGGACATCCTTGTCTTGCTTCTGATCTTAGAGGAAATGCTTTCAGTTTTTCACCATTAAGAATGATGTTTGGGCGGTGGAAAGATGGCGGAGGAGTAAGACGCGGAGATCACCTTCCTCCCCACAAATACACCAGAAATACATCTACACGTGGAACAACTCCTACAGAACACCTACTGAATGCTGGCAGAAGACCTCCGACCTCCCAAAAGGCAAGAAACTCCCCACGTATCTGGGTAGGGCAAAAGAAAAAATTAATTAAAAACAGAGACAATAGAATAGGGACAGCACCTGCACCAGTGGGAGGGAGCTGTGAAGGAGGAAAGGTCTCCACACACTAGGAAGCCCCTTCGCGCGCAGAGACTGCGGGAGGCGGAGCGGGGAGCTTCGGAGCCGCGGAGGACAGCACAGCAACAGGGGTGCGGAGGGCAAAGC